GGTTGTGGGTTTTTTTGGTTGGTTGGGTGTTGGTTTGGTTTATGTTGGGTGTTGGCTTTGGGTTGTTTTTTGTTGTTTTTTTTTTGGGGGGGGTTGGTATTCCTTTCTCCCTCTTTATTTCCTTTTATTATTATGTGTTACTTTATTTCAACTATAAAACTGTTCTGATCTCAACCCAGGTTGCAACCCCCCGATTCTCCTCACCATGCCACTGGCTACAGGGGACATGAACCAGTCGCTGCAGGGTATTAATTGCCAGCTTGGCTTAAACCCTGACAGCTGTGGATGAAAAGAGAACATATAATAACTAGAAGAAGAAAGGCTCTCCTCCAATGATTTTTTGGTTTATTCCTATCAGTGCTGCTTTTCATATCCAGTCAACTTTAAAAATTGACTAAAGAAGTTATTCACCCATATCATTAGCAGTGTTATGAACACAAGTGAGAAGCCCTATTTACAATACAAACAAGTTGGGATCTGTAAGTATTTGTACGCAGGGGCAATTTTTACACTTTAACACAATTAAGGCTTTGGAACTGACAACAGAAAGATAGCCTGAAACGTCAGTGTTATCCAGTCCATGGTTTGGCTGCAATAGTACCACGTTTTCATGATCACTTTCTTAAGAACATCAGTGGTTAATAAGCTCTAGCTCCTTGTTAGTTTTGGAAATAGCTATACATGTTTGTATAAATGCATTTGGAACCTGTTTATGCCCTTAAGGGGGATGAGAATGGAGCTCAACCTCCCTACAGAATTACACCAAAGAAAAATTACTGTAAGAATAGTGAAGAAACACAAGGCTTCTCTTCTGATGGTACAACCTGCAGCTAAGAAAAAAAATACCTGCCTTAAAGTTCTCCCCAGAACTCCACCACTTAGAAAAAAAAACATGCGGTTACTTAGAATCATAGAATAGTTAGGGTTGTAAAGGACCTTAAAATCATCTAGTTCTAACCCCCCTGCCATGGGCAGGGACACCTCGCTTTAAGCCATGTCACCCAAGACTCCATCCAACCCAGCCTTGAACACTACCAGGGAAGGAACATTAACAACTTCCTCAGGCAACCTGTTCCAGTGCCTCACCACCCTAACAGGAAAGAATTTCCTCCTTACACCCAATCTAAACTTCCCCTGTTTAAGTTTGAACCCATTACTCCTTGTCCTATCATCACAGTCCCTAATGAAGAGTCCCTCCCCAGCATCCTTGTAGTCTCCCTTCAGATACTGGAAGGCTACTATGATGTCTCCACGCAGCCTTCTCTTCTCCAGGCTAAACAGCCCCAACTTTCTCAGCCTGTCTTCACATGGGAGGTGCTCCAGCCCCCTGATCATCCTTGTGGCCTTCCTCTAGACTTGCTCCAACAGTTCCATGTCATTTTTATGTTGAGGACACCATAACTGTACAAAATTTTCCAAGTGAGGTCTCACGAGAGCAGAGTAGAGGGGCAGGATCACCTCCTTTGACCTGCTGATCACACTCCTTTTAATACAGCCCAGGATACGGTTGGCTTTCTGGGTTGCAAGTGCACACTGCTGGCTCATGATCAGTTCCTCATCAACCAACATCCTCGAGTCCTTCTCCACAGGGCTGCTCTGAATCTCTTGTCTGCCCAACCTTTAGCTGTGCTTGGGATTGCCCTGACCCAGGTGTAGGACCTTGCACTTGGCTTTGTTGAACTTCATGAGGTTTGCATCGGCCCACCTCACAAGTGTGTCAAGGTCCCTCTGGATGGCATTCATTCCCTCCAGCATATCAACCAAACCACACAGCTTGGTGTCTTTGGCAAACTTGCTGAGGACGCACTAAATCCCACTGTCCATGTCACCAACAAAGATGTTGAATGAGATCAGTCCCAACACCTATCCCTGAGGGACACCACTCATTACTGTTTTCCAACTGGACGTTGAGCCATTGACCACAACTCTTTGCGTGTGGCCATCCAGCCAGTTCTTTATCCACCGAGTGGTCCACCTATCAAATCAATGTCTCTCCAAATTAGAAACAAGGATGCCACGTGGGACAGTGTCGAACGCTTTGCACAAGTCCAGGTAGATGATGTCAACTGCTCTGCCCCTGTCCAGCCCCCTGCAGCCCCATCATAGAAGGTCACCAAATTGGTCAGGCAGGATTTTCCCTTAGTGAAGCCATTTTGGCTGTCACCAACCACCTCGTTGTTTTTCATGTGCCTTAGCATGCTTTCCAAGAGAATCTGCCCCAAGATTTTACCAGGCACAGAGGTGAGACTGACTGGTCTTGCATTTTACCCTTCTTGAAAATGGGGGTTACATTACCCTTTAGGATAATATAATAAGAATATAATATAATATCAATATAATATAGTCGATAGGTCTATATCTGTGGGCCTCCTATAAGACAAGGAGCAGAACATCACACTGTTTATTAGAAGTTTCTCATCTTGGCTGCACAGCCTGTCAACCACTTTGTGCTGCTACCCTGTTCCAAGACTCTCAGGGGTGGCGAGGCCAGATGTCATCCCTCATCCCTGAGGGCACTGACTAGCTGCAGTGGAGACAGCGATGGACGGCGAGGTCCCGCCCCCCCATAGTCATATCAGGTATGGGACACATACCTCCCTACTCCTCAAACAAGCTGACTAGAGCCCAAGCCCCTTCCCCCGCACCCTACTTTTAGGGCAGGGATGATGCTAAACGAACTGGTAGAACTAGCAGGGCAGCCCGCCTCCTCAAGTTGTGGGTGGGAAGGAAGAATACACCTACTCTCTGTTACACAGTCCCCAACCCCCCCACCCAACATCCAATAGGCAGCGTGAATCCCCCTCCGCCTTCTTCAATGTTAGGATACATGCACAAGATGCAGTACTCGCAGACGCCATTTGCACACGCGCACACGCATACAAACAAACAAAAAACCACGAACATAAAACCACAAAAAAAAAGCAAGCCTTGCAGTCCCTCTCGCTCTCTTTTACCGCCTTCCTTTGTCTCCACTGTTGTTATCGCTCTTCTCGTAGCCCCTATCAGGCAAGTAAAACAATCAACTTAGGCACACTATGGCAATACAAAATAAATCACTCTCCTCCATTACACTCGGGCCTTGTCTCTCTATGGTTCACACGGAGGGCGGGGCGAACTGGAGGCCATCTCTGTCCTGACAGGCAGCTGTCTTGCCCAATGGGGCTTCAGTAGGTCCCCACGAAGGGGAGGAGAGGAGGTGGCTGGGCCAGTCATTTGGAGGTGCTGGTAGGTGTATGTGTTGGTGATAGGAATTGTTCACTGTTTTCTCTTTCTTGCGTGGCGGGTGTAGGTAAGCGCGGCTTGTGCGCGTAGCTGATGGGGTGTGTTGTGTGCGTGCTGGGGGGCGGGGGGCTAAGGTGGGCTGAGGGAAGCGGAACTGCTGATCGCGCCCCTGTCGATGCTGCAGCGACGTAGTAACGTGGGGGGCCTGAGTCGTTGATAGGCCTCAGGATTTTTGTGGGTTCCCGCAGGGACAGCGCTCTTTCCTGCTGGCGGGGAGGGGGGTGCAGAATTGGGTCTGAGGACTGCTGTGTGGAGAAGGAGGGGGCCGGGAGTGACTCCTTAGCTAATGTAGAGTGGCTTGGCGCAACCTGCGGGCCCAAGGGGGCCTATCTGTTCTCAGGAGAAGGGCGAAAAGGGTGATCTGTGTCTCTGCTGGCAACCATCATACCTCGGCGACCTTATTGCGGGCACGGTGGCCCAAACGGTGCTGCCTCCGGAGTGGAGATGTGGTGAATGTCGGCTCCACTGTCGGATGTGTGCTAAATCCGGGTGAATGGGTATGGGGCAAGATTTTGGAATTATGGTGAGCAGAGAGGAAGAGGAGGGAGGGCGCTCTCAGCTCCTGCCTGTGCAGAAATAGCTGTGCCAAACCAACTGGGGAGCGCTCTAGCAGCAGGCCTTGCTTTTAGGGGCAATGGCGGAGTTCTTGTGGCGGCGCCGTTGCGGTCTGTCGGTCCCACTTGAGCTCGGGTGAGGGCCACCGAGTGCCTCCTTTGTGTCTATATGGGTAAAGCGGGAGAAATCTGGTGACCGCATGGTGGTCGTTTTTCGGCTCCCGGCTCCGCCTAGCAGTGGGTAGGCGCCATTACAACAGCCGCCATTTCTGCTAGTCCCCGCCACCGCGGAGGTTGGTTTCGGTCTGCGGGGGTTATATAACGTTGCCCCGTTCGCTCAGGGTATGAGCTGGGTTTCCGAGTGCTCTCCCTTAGTAGGCGGTGGAAGCCTAAAAACGTGCAGACCGAGCAGACCGTGGCAGTCCTGAGGGAGTAGGAGTGGACACGCGTCGTCGCCTCCTAGCTCTCTATTTATGTCTATGGCCGCTTTATCTTTTCTATGTTTGTAAAATCATTGCGTTAGTCAATTCTGTAAACTCGATTTACAAAACAGCACGGTAACTGAGTTTCTTGTCCTATATAATTAACGAGGTTGGAAGAGACCTTTAAGATCATAAAGTCCAACCATTACCCCAGGACTGCCAAGGCCACCACTAAACCATGTCACTGAGGGCCTCATGTACATGTTTTTTGAATACTTCCAGAATCCAAGGGGGGAAATGGCATTCTTTGGACGTTATCTGAGCAAGTGATTTTTTTTTTTAAGAGGTTAAACTGCAACGTTGGGTTTTTTTTTGCTTGGATTTGTAGTGTATTTTACAAATATTCTCATATAAACTTGAAAAAAATAAATATTGAAAGAGGTACCGGTTTCACAAAAGCAAAAAAGTTCAGCTGCTTTTGAGGTTCTTTGTGATTGTATGCAGAGGTTATACATAACTGCAGTGTGGTATTTTAAAATAATTTTTCTAGCTTGGCATGTATAATTTCTTTTTGTTCATTAGTTATAGTGAATGGAAGACATGATAATGTCTGCTAGTAGGTTGATAACTTATTAATTAATGCTGGTGATTATAACAATTTAAATGGTTTAAACAATAAGCAGATTGATATATAGTGTCTCTTAAAAAGGAAATTCAAGGTATGTATTATTATATAACATTATAAAGATGGGAATTGGATAATTGTTCACTTTAAATACCTGAAAATCGTTATCAGTAAACATGATTACTTAAAACTAACAAATATTGGAATATTGACCAAGTCCCTAATTGTTCAGACTGATTGTTTATCTGTAAGTTTACAGACTTTACTTCTTCTCTTAGTGATGTGTTTGGCCTTGTTATGTTTTCTCATTTATAAAGAAAAGCTTTGCAGCAAAAACTCGGGTCAAACCCTCATTTTCAGTTGTAGTGAGAATCAGACTCTGTAAGTGAACAGAGGGTATATGCTGTTTTCATAGGCTTCTGAAGCAGTAGGCTGCTGGATTTTGATCCTGCCCAGAACACTTGAGATTTGCTCTGCAAGCACATATAAAACTGGTAAGTTCTAGAAGGGGGTATATCTTTTTGGTTTTCCCTTCAGTATGATGTACAATTTGCACCCCACATGCATACCCAAAATAGGTGTACTGGCTCTTTTTTTGTTCTGCAACAGGTTTTATCTGCACACCTAAGAATAAAAGGTAATGGAGACTGAACAACAGGAGGAAACCTTTACCAACACAGAGACAAATGGTAATTTATTTAAAGGGCTCTTTTATGGGGGTTGGGACACCTTTTTAAGTCTTGGCATTTCCAGTTATTTCAGAATGCTTTAACTGTATCAAATGTTTATAATTGCAGTATTTTTGCATTTAATTTTTTATTTTTTAAGTGCGCTGTATGGTTTTACATGGGTTTTGTATGACGTACTTTTTTTTCTGTGAGGGCATTTTAGACATGGCATAAGTGACTCAAAGCTGTAACTAAGGATTTGAAAATATTTAATAGCTAAATACTCATTGCTCGTCTGGACTGTGATCATGTAAAAATACTGTCAGGCATATCTATTAATATATTTTATTCATTGCATTCCTTTGAAGGAATGTATATATATGTGAAATATCTTTATTAGCTAAATGAATTTTATTTTTTTTTTTGGACGTAATTAGTGAAGAAGAGCTAGGGCATTAGCATTGAGTTGATTCATGCAAGTTTTGCAGAACTATTTGAAATACTGCTTTTCTGTTGTTCCACCAGTATTTTATGTTGTTCCACCAGTATTTTAGTACTGGACAAACTACTTTTGGTCTTTCAGGCTTTAATATTTTCCCAATCATAAAAGAAATACTAGGTAGGTGATTCAGTGCTGATTTAAACAACATGTTGTAAATTTTTCACTAAGTTTGCAAAATTCTCATTTCAACTGTAGTTGATAGATTTAGAATGAGTCTTCAATAATGAATTGAAATGTACACTGATGAAGTAAAAACCTTTTCCTGTGCTACAGATTCTCAGGGTAGATGTCGGAAGTTAGCATTGGGCTAATAGGAGGGAATGCTTCATTAGGAATACAGTGCCTTAGCTTGATATACAATTTTATTGTGCCTTAGAAAGTTAAGTATATTTTTGTGTCCATCCATCCTGTTTTTCCCCCCTCCCTCCATGGACCCGTCTACAGGCAAACGCCCTGCAGAAGATATGGAGGAAGAACAGGCCTTCAAAAGATCTCGGAATACAGATGAGATGGTCGAGTTGCGCATCCTGCTTCAAAGCAAAGTATGCTTTTTCAGTATTGCAGTGTTCTTGCTCATACTTAAGACAGTGGTGACAAAATGTATGTTGTGGTGTATGTTTATAAAGAGTGTATGCTTTATTTAAAATAATTTGGGAATATTTGTAAGTCTGTGTGAATGATAGTAGTGTATTGTGATGATATTATGTTCACTAATTTTTCTAAGGATTAGTCTTTAATGATCTATGGGACTACTTTGATTTTTTTTTTTTTTTTTTTTTAAAGGAGTACTAATTGAAACAATAGGAATTATAAGCCACTTGTGTTTGAGTGGAACATATTTGTTCCCAGGGGAAAGACTGTGTATTACTCCTTAGAGAACGATCAGCTTATGATTTTAAATTAAACATGAAAGAAAAGTTGAGGACTTCCTCAGGATTTTGGTAATTTTCACAGGTTTGCTAAATCTATGCACATCAACAGGAGGAAATATGGGAGCAATGTTTCAGGGATTGCAATCACTTCACTGACTAGTATAAATTGTCACAGTAAAATTGCTATTTACAAATCTTTTTCAGTGTTTCCAGTCACTACATGTGTTTGTACTGTCTGAAGTAACTCAATCTTTTGTGTCAGGGCAGGGGAATGTTACCTTAACTCTGAATGAATTGTCAAATTATGTAGTACCGCAAAATGTTTGTGGTGGTGTTAGCATCATGTGTGAACTGCGTAATGAAAGTGATAAATTTGCCTGTAGTTCTTGAAATAGCCTGCTAAAGATAGAATCGTGGAATCTTAGAACTGTTGTTCTAGTTATATCTTCACAGCTAGTCATAAAGAATCATTCACTGTCTCATTGCAGCATTGTTACAGATTAACTGTAAATTGTCTTTTTGCAACTTAAAGGACTATTGCCTTGTGCTCTGAAACTATTTCCAAGGCATTTTGACTTGTTAAAATCATAGAACAGTTAGGGTTGGAAAGGACCTTAAGATCATCTAGTTCCAACCCCCCTGCAATGGGCAGGGACACCTCCCACTAAACCATGCCACCCAAGGCTCTGTCCAACCTGGCCTTGAACACCCCCAGGGATGGAGCATTCATAATTTCCCTGGGCAGCCCATTCCAGTGCCTCACCACCCTAGCAGTAAAGAACTTCCCCCGTTTAAGTTTTAACCCATTACCCCTTGTCCTATCACTACAGTCTCTAATGAATAGTCCCTCCCCAGCATCCTTGTAGGCCCACTTCAGATACTGGAAGGCTGCTATGAGGTCTCCACACAGCCTTCTCCAGGCTGAACAGCCCCAGCTTTCTTAGCTTCTCTTCACGTGGGAGATGCTGCAGCCTCCAGAACATTTTTGTGGCCCTCCTCTGGACTTCATCTAACAGTTCCATGTCCTTTTTATGTTGAGGACACCAGAACTGTACACAATAATCCAAGTGAAGTTTCATGAGATCAGAGTAGAGGGGCAGGATTGCCTCCTTCGACCTGCTGGTCACGCTCCTTTTGCTGCAGCCCAGGATATGGTTGGCTTGCTGGGCTGTGAGTGCACACTGGTGGCTCATGTTCATTTTCTCATCAACCAACACCCCCAAGTCCTCTGCTGGGCTGCTCTGAATTTCTTCTCCACCCAACCTGTAGCAGTGCCTGGGATTGCTCCGACCTAGGTATAGGGCCTTGCACTTTGCTTTGTTGAACTTCATGAGGTTTGCATTGGCTCACCTCACAAGCGTGTTGAGGTCCTGCTGGATGGCATTCCTTCCCTCCAGCGTATCAACCGAACCACACAGCTTGGTGTCTGGCAAACTTGCTGGGGGTGCACTCAATCCCACTGTCCATGTCACCAACAAAGATGTTGAATGAGATCAGTCCCAACACCGATCCCTGAGGAACGCTGCTCGTTACTGGTCTCCAGCTGGACATTGAGCTGGACAACTCTTTGCGTGTGGCTATCCAGCCAGGTCTTTATCCACCAAGTGGTCCATCCATCAAATTGATGTCTCTGCAATTTAGAGACAAGGATATCATGTGGGACATTGTTGAATGCTTTGCACAAGTCCAGGTAGATGACATCAACTGCTCTACTCCGTCCATCAGTTCTGTAGTCCCATCATAGAAGGCCACCAAATTGGTCAGGCAGGATTTCCCCGTAGTGAAGCTATGCTGACTGTCATCGAGCACCTTGTTGTTTTTCATGTGCCTTAGCATGCCTTCCAGGAGAATCTGCTCCAAGATTTTACCAGGCACAGAGGTGAGACTGTCTGGTCTGTAATTCCCCGGGATCATCCATTTTCTCCTTCTTGAAAATGGGGGTTATATTTCATTTTTTCCAATCTTTGGGAACTTCACCTGAGTTCCATGATTTTTCAAATATGATGGCCAGTGGCTTAGCAACTTCATTTGCCAGCTCCTTCGGGACCCTCAGATGGATTCCATCAGGTCCCATGGACTTGTGTACGTTCAGGTTCTTAAGATGGTCTCAAATTAGATCATCTCCTACAGTGGGCCTAGGGTCTTCATTCTCCCAGTCCCTGCGTTTGCCTTCCAGGACTTGGGTGGTGTGGTCAGAGCATGTAGTTTTACGATTGCCCCTCTTGAATATCTGAGTTTATTCCTCTTGATTTTAGCAACTGGTGAATAGGGATTCTTTATTTTCATAGAATAGTTAGGTTTGGAAAGGACCTTAAGGTCATCTAGTTCCAATCCCCCTGTTATGGGCAGGGACACCTTGCACTGTTGGCTTTACATGCTTCAGACTGTGCCTACTTGAGTGGTCAGTTGGGTTACCTAGGTTTAAATCAAAAGTAGCATTTGAAATTATCAAATGTGTGGAGTGTAAAAGTGAAATTTATAGATATTAAATAGGAAAATCCTTTACCTACATAATATGCATGGAATCCCATACGGTATTTTTCCAGTCGTAGTCTAACTATGAGACAGTTTTAACACAGGCAGAATTGCCTAGAAACTTAAATTTTAAATGGTAATAATATTATTGGGTATTTTTATCTCTTTCCAAAGTTAAATGCTAAGAGCTGTTTTGACACACCACCTTCCCCACCTCCCCCCGCCTCTCGTGGTAAAACCATATCAGTTTGTGTTTTGATTTAATTTGAACCTTTCAGAAGCAAAACAAGCTTTACCCCTAAATGCACCTCACAAGGTAATGCTGAAATAGATGCATTGGTTTTGGTCTTCAGTTCAAAAATGTAGTCTGTGCTGTATTAAAATAATGTAATTTCTGATAACTATTTTCCAGAATGCTGGAGCAGTGATTGGAAAAGGTGGCAAAAATATTAAGGCACTTCGTACAGATGTGAGTATATACAAGTTTGAATTAATTTAACACCAATTCTATCAGAGCACTGCATTGAAAAATTGATTGCATACATTTCTAGAAAATGAGAAATTCAAATCTAGATAACAATAATCTATAAATCATTTATAATAATTGCTAGAAGAGAGAACTTTGTTTTCCATTTGTGTTGTAATTAAAACCCAGCTTAAATTATGTGGGAAGGGAGGCTTATGTTAAATCTCTTTGCTTTCAAACAGGGTTCTTCTAAATTACGCACTTCAAATAAGTTAACATTTCTAATTAGAAATATTGTAAAAGCTTAAAATTTTTAACCATACCTTTTTCCATATGTGTAAATTGGTTATAGTACTACTGAAAACTATTGCAGGTGGCTGGTTTAATCCAGTGATGGAGGACTTCTTAAACTTCCTTTAAAAAAAAAAAAAACAAACCAAAACCAAAAAAAAACCAAAAAAAAAACAATAAACCCCAACAACAAAAAAAATGGTCCTTTTGTTCTTACTTTAACAGCTTGAACATAAAGCACAAAGACATTCATGTTAAGGTTGCATGGTTTAATTATGAGTGTAGAACAGTAAAGAAACATTTTATTCTGTTACTCGGAAGCATTTTGAAATGGTCATGACTTATTTACTTATTCATATTTTATAGGGAGTTGACTCTTGTGATTAGATGTGTTCAGGATAAATGTTATGTATTTATAAAACTTAGCAATGCTTCTTAAATTCCATTTGTTTACACTCCTGTAGCATCAGCTACAAATCAGAAAATTTTTTCAAGCAAGACTGTTCAACATGTTATTTGCTAATATATCATTACAGAATCGGTTCCATCTAAGTTCACAAACTGTACTAACTGGAATTGAGGTTTAAGCTGAAATGGTCCGGAATCATACATACACTTTCTAACTTTGACAGCTAGTGTGTTTATTTTAAGTCTAGATGGTTTAATTGTTCTGGAATACAAGATTTCCCAACTTGCCCAAGGTTTCAGTAATATGGATCTCAACAGTTTTTGTGGCTACATTCATGAGCCAGCCTGCTACTGAAACATCAGTATGTTAAAAAAGTAGTTTAGTCAGATTAAGTAACTCATTATCCGTACTGTTAAGTCACAGTCAGTGTAGCAGTCCGTTATTGTGTTAGTCTTCAGAATAACGTAAGCTTGTTTCGTTAGCTGAGAGTAATGAGTATAGTTTAAATTAAATTAAAATTCATTGCTTTTCCGCCTTTTCCCTCTCCTTGTTTTTTTGGCCATATATCTCCGTTACCCATGTACTGGATCGACTTGCCCCTGCGTTGCCCACCATGACGTTGGCCCATCTGTCCCTGAACGCTAACGTGAAAACCCTGGTTGGCTATGCCCAAAAATGTGCCCATTGCCAAATGGGTGCCATACTTGACAACTTCTGGTTGAATGCCCATGCCCAATGCCAACATCCACGAACGCCAATGACCAATGCAGTACAATGCAAGTGTTTCAGTCCCAGACAGCAGTGGCCCTGAGCGGTATGTCCCAACAGTTTATGCATTGCTGCCTGATTAGAAAGAGAGAAATGTATCTTATTACCTTTTATATAATTAAATAGTATCTCCTTATAGACAGTGTATTGTTTTGGTGGTGGGTTTGTTTTGTTTGTGTTTTTTTTTTCAGGAGTCTCTTGCTCTTTGTGGTCCACCTTGCTCCCCCTAATATTGTTCATAATTATTTCTGATGGAATACTATAGTTCACTTTCCTTTGCTTCTCGTTTGTGTTATGTTTTTGTTTGGAGGTTGTTTTGTTCCCTCCCTGTATTTTTGGTCCTTTTCTGCAGAGCCCATTAGTAATCTAATTTCCAACCAGTCTTTCAACCTTACTCCAGATATAATGTTGACCACTTGCATATCCCCACTTTTTCTACAAGAAGGTGTGCCATTTTTACCAATGTAATACTAGGGTATACTAAATTAGTGGTGGTGGAGAACATGAATATTCACTTCTACTTTCAGTTCTGCTTGGATTTCTTGCCCAGTTAATTTGAGCCTTCCAAAAGCTCTTGCTTGCTCATGTTCTCTCGTTCTTTCTGCAAGACCTACCTAACCTTACATTCATCATGCGTATATGTTGGGCATAAACAAAGATGCATGTGTTGTAAATCCAGTGAACAGGTTTACTTTAAATGGAGAATATTAATTGTAAATTATTCTGTGTAGTCAATCTTGTTAGAATTTTGTGTATGATTATGAATACTAAACTTCTACTTTTCTGACACTATGGCCTCTAACAGCATCTTGAGTATAAGTGCAGATACAGAGACAATTGGAGAAATCTTGAAGAAGATTATCCCTACTTTAGAAGAGGTATGTGCCTTAGGTTTGTTTCTTCTTTAGAAGTATAAATTTAGAGTTTAAAACAAGATAATTGCATATGATTGTTGTGTGCCTATATCTCTCAAACTGTGTTGGCTTTTGTTTGTTTGTTTTAATGGAGATAATCTCTTCTTCGAACATAGTATTTGGAAGTCTTTCCTTCAAAACACCTGTCTCTTGGCTTATTTAGTCTTCAGTTTGAAGTAGCCGTATTGTAATTTCCATCCTGCCTTGGATTTTTAAGCAAGTGTGTTGTGCTGTTTGTTACCTTAAAATTTTATACAATAATAATGATAAAAGAAATAAGGAAAACTAATTTGACATCACCTCATGTTGAGGCAAAGTACTTAAATAGGTGTGATTCTGTCATAGCAAATACTGCATTACAGTTCAGCAGCAAATTAAGTTAAACCAGGATGCTTGGAGAAAAAAGCTTAACAACACCCTTGCCCCCAACTAGAATTTTGATGCTTTCAATTTTACCTTCCCCCCCCCCCCCCCGACTAATATTTTATTCTTTCCTTGTATGTATCTTTCTTACAGTATCAACACTACAAAGGTAGTGACTTTGACTGTGAATTAAGGCTTCTAATTCACCAAAGTCTAGCAGGAGGAATTATTGGTGTCAAGGGTGCTAAAATCAAAGAACTCAGAGAGGTACCATTTCCTGTTCTGTTCACATTCTACTTTTATTCTATAAACAGATTAGGGTTTTGTGTTCATAAATGGTGAGTGTAAGCATCATATGTGCAGTAATTCCTTCAGAACATATTTCATATACAATTTATGTGTTCTGAGATCAGAGTTACTTATTACAATTTTCTTGCAAAAGTCAGAAATAAAGTGGCTGTTGGTAATAGAGCCTAGGACTTAATAAAGCTTTTAAACATATTAACAGTAATCTTGATAAATAAAGGATATTTTTTTAAAAGGCCATTCATCACTTCTTCTGAAATGAACTGCTGAATGATGACTATATTGGTGGTGTTGGGCATGGAAAATGGTTTAGTGCGGATGAATTTCCATAAACTCTAAAAATGGTAATTTAATAGCTGTTTGAATGCTGCTATAAAAAGTTAGCATGGGGTGGGGTTTTAAGTTCTGCTTCCTCGAAGACCACTGTTTCCTTTGTGAAGGACTATTCCTTATGAAGGAGTCATGTTTTGTTCTTCAAAGCTAGTGGTCTCTGAATCTAGAGTGTTGATTTCTTTTACTGGCATTGTGTCGAAGGCAATTAAAGGTCATTTAAGGTGTAAGCTACTATTTGTGTGGACTGAATAAGGCAAGATGACTAGACATAATCCTGGCAAAGCTGTTGTCTTGCGTCCAAAGCATGTTTTTATGACATATGGAGGCTTATAGAACCCATAAGCTTATAATAGATATCTGGTCCTTTTGCTAATATTTGATTTAAATGACCATGTAGATGATCCGTAACTGAAAGGATAAAAATTTTTTTCATGTTCACTAGCTTTTCATGCAAACTGATGTCATTGCAGGTCTTAAAAAAATATAATATCCAAAGATTAAATTTGTTGCAAGAACTAGGAAGCAGGCATTCATTTAAAATGTCTTCAAGTTTAATGGTTTGGTTTGTTTGTTTCTTTTAAAATGTTATAGTCTGTATCTTACTCATTTTGTTTTCATTAAGTTTACAAAATTGTGTTGAATTCCTTCTTTTGAAGATTGGTTTGTTTGTTTTGTTACTTTTTTTTTGCTGTTGTTTTGTTGTTGTTGTTTTTTGTTGTGTTTTTTTTTTCCAACAGAACACTCAGACCACCATTAAGCTCTTCCAAGAGTGTTGTCCTCATTCCACTGATAGAGTGGTGCTTATTGGTGGAAAACCTGATAGAGTTGTGGAATGTATAAAGATTATCTTGGATCTTATCTCTGAGGTAATGTCTTAAATTTATTCTTTCATTGGTATTCATGAAAGTTGGGATTATTTGCAAGAAAAATTTTATCTTTCCATTTATATTTTGAATTCAGTGCTGCCTCTTCAGTAACAAAATAAGTGTTAGACTGTTATCACCCTTGAAATTACTCCTCTTTCCTAGAACTGGGGTGTAACTTATCAGAGATGGAAGCCATTTTAGGTACCTGTGGGCTGTTAGTCATGCTTCATATATAAGTAAAATGAAGAAATTTTAAATTGGGGTGGAAGTGAGACAAATGTATGTGCATCAGTAATATCCATGCTTGCCTTGTCAGCATTGAGAAATAATAGAATCATAGAATAGTTAGGGCTGGAAAGGACCTTAAGATCTCTAGTTCCAACCCCCCTGCCATGGGCAGGGACACCTCGCTTTAAGCCATGTTACCCAAGACTCCATCCACCCTGGCCTTGAACACTACCAGGGAAGGAACATTAACAACTTCCTCGGACAACCTGTTCCAGTGCCTCACCACCCTCACAGAGAAGAAATTCTTCCTTATATCTAACCCAAATTTCCCCTGTTTAAGTTTTAACCCATTACTCCTTGTCCTATCATCACAGTCCCTAATGAAGAGTCCCTCCCCAGCATCCTTGTAGTCTCCCTTCAGATACTGGAAGGCTGCTATGAGGTCTCCATGCAGCCTTCTCTTCTCCAAGCTGAACAGCCCCAACTTTCTCAGCCTATCTTCATACGGGACTTGCTAGAGTTACAGTCCCCTGATCATCTTTGTGGCCCTCCTCTGGACTTGCTCCAACAGTTCCATGTCCTTTTTATGTTGAGGACACCAGAAGGGCACACAGTACTCCAAGTGAGGTCTCACGAGAGCAGAGTAGAGGGGCAGGATCACCTCCTTTGACCTGCTGGTCACACTCCTTTTAATACAGCCCAGGATACGGTTGGCTTTCTGGGTTGCAAGTGCACACTGGTGGCTCATGTTCATTTTCTCATCAACCAACACCCCCAAGTCCTTCTCTGCAGGGCTGCTCTGAATCTCATCTCCACTCAACCTGTAGCTGTGCTTGGGATTGCCCCGACTGAGGTGTAGCAGCTTGCACTTGGCATGGTTAAACTTCATGAGGTTGGCATCAGCCCACCTCACAAGCATGTCAAGTTCTCTCTGGATGGCATCCCTTCCCTCCAGTGTATCAGCCAAACCACACAGCTTGGTGTCTTTGGCAAACTTGCTGGGGGTGCACTCAATCCCATTGACCATGTCACCGACAAACATGTTGAACAAGACTGGTCCCAACACCGATCCCTGAGGAACACCTCTCGTTACTGGTCTCCAGCTGGACTTTGAGCCATTGACCACAACTCTTTGTGTGCAGCCGTGCAGCCAGTTCTTTATCCACCGAGTGGTCCACCTATCAAATTGATGTCTCTCCAATTTAGAGACAAGGATGTCATGTGGGACAGTGTTAAACGCTTTGCACAAGTCCAGGTAGATAATGTCAACTGCTCTACCCCTGTCCATCGGTTCCGTAGCCCCATCATAGAAGGCCACCAAATTGTTCAGGCAGGATTTTCCCTTAGTGAAATCATTTTGGCTGTCACCAACCACCTTGTTGTTTTTCATGTGCCTTAGCATGCTTTCCAAGAGAATCTGCTCCAAGATTTTGCCAGGCACAGAGGTGAGACTAACTGGTATTTAATTCCCTGAGTCTTGCGTTTTCCCCTTCTTGAAAATGGGGGTTTTGTTACCCTTTTTCCAGTTGTTGGGAACTTCACCTGAATGCCAAGGTTTTTTCAAATATGATGGACAGTAGCTTAGCAACCTCATTTGCCATCTCTTTTGGGACCCTCAGATGGATTTCATCAGGTCCCATGGACTTGTACACATTGAGGTTTTTAAGAAGATCTTGAACCAAATCCTCTCCTACATTGGGCCTAAAGTTTTCGTTCTCGCAGTTTCTGCATCTGTCTTCCAAGTCTTGTGCAGTGTGGATAGAATATTTGCCAGTGAAGACTGAGGCAAAGAAGTCATTGAGAACCTCAGCCTTCTACAAATCCTGTGTAGCCAGTTCTCCTGATAGCTTCTGGAGAGGGCCCACATGGTCCCTAGTCTGTCTTTTGTTCGCTTCATATCTATAGAAGCCCTTCCTGTTATCTCTCGCATCTCTTGCCATATTTAATTCTAACTAGTCTTTACCTTTCCTGACCTGGTCCCTAGCTTCACGGACAATATCCTTGTATTCTTCCCAGGCTGCCTGTCCTCGCTTCCACCTTTTATAAGCTTCTTTTTTCTCTTCTAAGTTTCTTCAGTGGCAACTTATACATCCATGTAGTTTTCCTGGCCCTCCTGACACATTTCCTTCTAGTCAGGTTGCAACGCTCCTGAGCTTGCAGCAGGTGATCCTTGAATATCAGCCAGCAGTCTTGGGCCCCCCTGCCCTCTATGGCTTTATCCCATGGGACCTTACTAAGGAATTTCCTGAAGAGGCCAAAGTCTTCTCTCTTGAAGTCCAGGGCAGTGAGCTTGCTGCATGCCCTTCTCACTACCCTGAGGATCTCAAACTCAATCATCTCATGATTGTTACAGCCACGGCTGCCCTGGAGCATCACATTTCTAACTAGCCCCTCCGTGTTAGTGAGCATGAGGTCAAGTATGACACCTCTCCTTTTTGTCTCTATTACTTGCAAGAGGAAGTTGTCTTCCACACAATCAAGGAGCCTCCTGAACTTCTTGTACCAGGTCATGCCCTCCTTCCAACAGCTATGAGGATGTTTGAAGTCCCCCAAAAGGACAAGGGCCTGTGTGCGTGAGGCTCCTCCTATCTGTCTATAGAATGCTTCATCCACAGAGTCCTCCTGATCAGGCAGTCTGTAGCAGATCCCCAGAGTAATGTCTCCATTGCTCTTCTCCCTTTGATACTGACCCACAAGCTCTTTGTTGGCTAATCACCTGTCCCCAGAGAGTTCCATACTTTGCAGCTTTTCACTGACAAAAATAGCTACTCTCCCTCACTGTCTGCCGGGTCTGTCTTTTCTAAAGAGCCTATAACCTTCCCTTTCAACACTCCAGTCATAGGATCCATCCCACCATGTTTCTGTGTTGCCAGTGATATATCCCTTTACACATCTCTAATTTCTCTTGTTTATTCCCCGTACTATGGGTGTTTGTATAAAGGCATCTGAGCTGTGTTCCAAATAAAGCTGACTCATTGGCTGGAGTAGCTGAAATATCTCTGCATGGCTCTAAGCATTTATTACAGGTGCTAGTAACTGACTGAGAGTGTTGGGATGGATTGATATCCCCCTCTCCACCAACGCATCTAGTTTAAAGCTGCCTTGACCAGCCTGGCAAGTCTCCTACCAAAGCAACTTTGTCAGACCAGCTTCACCAGCCTCCAGTAGACCTGGCCTCCCAAATTGAGTCCCATGTTCTAAACCAAACCCCTGACTATGGCACCACCATTCTTACCATTTCTTAACCTGCCAAATCTGCCTGGCCTTTTTGAAGTCCTCCCCTTTAACCTGGAGGATTGATGAAGAAATTATCTGAGCCCCAAAGCCCCTAATCACCTCTCCCAGGGCTCTGTAGTCCTTAATGTTCTCCAGACTACTGCTATCTGTCTTGTTAGCACCCACATAGATCGCTAGAAGTGAGAAACAGGAGGATTTACAAGATCAGGCAGCCTCTCTGCAACATCCTTTGTCCCAGCCCCTGGTAGGCCACACACCTCCCTTGAGACTGGGTCAGGCTGACAGATGTGTGCCTCTATGCCTTTCAAAACAGTCACCTACTGCTCTGACCTGCCACTTTTTCCTGGAGGCACTAGTAGTTATCCTTTCTAATGGTGGCATCAGGTGGTTGCTCATTTGGTAAGGTGTGAGTTTCCTCATTAGCCCCCTGCAGAACTGCAAAGCTGTTCTGGGTGGTTATGTCAGATTTTAGAGGAACCCCCTTGCTTTTAATTGTCCTCTTCCTCCTTTTTTTGTGTTTTCTGTTACTAGCTTCCAACTTCCTGGATTAATGCCCTCCTTTCCTGTATGTGGTTTGATGGACACTTGTGGCTCCTCCACAGTTTGGGCCTGGGGCAAGCAGTCCAGCTCCCTGTCAGTTTCCCTGACGTATTAGCTTACTGATAGTCTCCTGCAGTTCAGCCACCTGCTGCAGTAGTACCTCCACCAGGGCACATTGAGTGTAGCCCTGCCCATTATGCACCCTTGCCTCAAGAGATCAATTCAGAACATATAAATTTATATTCATTTGATATAGTGATTTAATGTAATTTTAACAGTCAGTGCTAACTGGGGGGACCGGTGTTGTTGGTTTTGGGTTTTTTTTTTTGTGTGTGTGTCTTAGTCTCCAATTAAAGGACGGGCCCAGCCTTATGATCCCAATTTCTATGATGAAACATATGACTATGGTGGCTTCACAATGATGTTTGATGATAGAAGGGGACGTCCAGTAGGCTTTCCAATGCGTGGAAGAGGTGGTTTTGATCGAATGCCTCCTGGTCGTGGTGGACGACCCATGCCTCCATCAAGACGAGATTATGATGATATGAGCCCTCGCAGAGGACCTCCACCGCCTCCACCAGGTCATGGTGGCAGAGGTGGCAGCAGAGCTCGTAATCTTCCTCTTCCTCCTCCACCACCTCCTCGTGGCGGGTAAGTTGCATAAATGCATTGTACAAAACTTAAGTTGATTAAAATTTGCTGAATTGTTCTTCTGTTGCCAGGACTTGTTTCACATTCCATGTTGGTAGTGATTATGCAGGATTGAGTGTATATTGCACCAGAGAATTTCAAAGAGTATTTGAATTCAGTTATTTCTGCAGTGTAACAGTCTTATCAGGACTTCAGTCAGTAGTTTTGTAACTTTATTTTATGTTATTCAGAACTTGGCTAAAGCATTCAGAAATTTATAGCTGTGTGCAAATAATGAAAACTTGAATTAGATTATATAAACTAGTTTATAACTTGAGTCATGTGCTGTTGCTTTTTCTCATTTTAGAGATCTTATGTCTTATGACCGAAGGGGTAGAGCTGGAGACCGTTATGATGGAATGGTAAGAGTTAAAATTCATATTGTTTTGTTTAGTTAGCACTTCAAATAGCTGAGGAAACTGTTCTTGAATACATACATTTAAGTATGGAGCATGTGTGCTTCTGGTAAACTTTGATACTGCCAAAATTTTTTGGCCATACAAATGGTTCTTCTGAGATGATGACTGTTTGGGGTGTGAAGGGTATTTGGGATGTGATCTGCTGTGTAGGTTTGGTTTGTGGGGCTTGGTTATTTGAGTTTTGGTTGTAGTTTTTTTCTTGGTTGGTTCTCCCTGACTTCTATTGGCAATGGAATAAGTGTTGGTGGAGCACAGTCCCTGCAGGTTTTATTACATGGACCTTCTTTTAAACTTTTTAATTGGGATGACAGAAATAGGAGTCGGGAGGCTTTTCAGATCAAGAAAGCATGTCAAAACAATATTTTCCAACAGATGTTAGCAGGATTGAGAGAACATGAATAATATTTATAAAGAGCTCTAGCTAGCCTGGCAGATGATGACTTTTTCAAATCAGTTCTTGTCTTTATGCCAATTTCTGTGTCTGAAAAAAAAATATCTACTGTAATTCAAAATGTTTTGGAGCCAGGGCCACTGATAAGTTGAATTTTAAATTAAATTAGGTATATTCAACCACGTTGGGGGGTTGGGAGAATTAAAAAAGGCCTGAGGATACTCTTCCATGTTGTACTCTGAAATGTGACTTCCTGGTAGTCATGGGCTGTTGTACCCACTTTCCTGGGAAGAGAAATCATAGGCATCTTGGAGGTAAATCTTTGATTAATAATCTTTATTTCTTCTCTGGTTTTGTTTGGTACATTCCTTAAAATGACAGGTTAGGTGGGTTTGGGGATCTTTTGTTTTGCTTGTTTGGTGGTGGTTTTTTGTTTTGTTTTGTTTGTTTTTCATTTGTTTAAATGAATGGAATAGGAAAAAGTTGAGGAGCTGTGGAATGGGCTACCTAAATGAGGTTTACACACTGCCTCCTTCTGGGAGGAAGAGGCAGTTGCTTCCAGTAATGCACACTGGATGTACATGTTACAAGAATGTCAAAATATATTGAAAGGAAAGACACTTAAAATTGCTAAAAATGAGCAAAAAAGCCCTATTTCCCCCTCCCCCAGAAAAAAAACACAAACCACAAAACAACACCAAAACCACTGTTGCCTATGCTACTCTGGATCTTAAGAAACTAGAAGACTTATGTACTATACCTCTAAGATCCTTTGTGTTTTCAGAGCTCAGTTTTTGTATTTTCGCATTTGCAGCTAGTAAAACCAGTGTTGGCATATAAAACAGAACAGCCTGCCCTTTGATTTTTTCGGTTGAATGGAATCTTTAGCTTGGGAAATAGTGTGTTTTAGTTCTGTTCCATTTTAATTTAAAATAGAAAATCGATTTGAATTCTGTTTAGTCTGACTTTGGACAGGTTGAACTTGGCTTTCTTGACATTAGTTTCTACAAATAAGTGGGAGTCATCTCTGTTCATTTTCCATACAGCTTTGGCTGCTTTATGCACAAGTTTCATAGCCTGTCTACAATGAGGCAAAGACAAATTGTATTTAATTTCTAGTTTTAACTAGCCATAATCACAGTATCCTTAACTGTATAAACAGATGAGAAGTCTTTCCATGGGTTGAGAGGCTTAAGATGGAAGTATTATCATGCCAGAAATATAAGGTGGTCTTGCTACTATGCATTTCCTATAGAAACCATTCTCTAGCAAAATGTTTAAACTTGGAGTAAACTGACATTGATGTAGTTTATAAAGTACGGCATGGGAAATGCTACTTTGAGAGAGCAGAATGACCTTTTACATAAATCTATTAAAAGGCAAGAATAGATTCTCTTTTCAGGCCAAAATCTTGGAGATGTTGAATCTACGGAAATCCTAATTTTATGCTGGTTCTCTTCTCTGCTAAAGGTAGAAAAGTTCAGTAGTTCAAGACCTGTGGGGTAGTGAACCAAGATTGGATGGTGAAACTTGAATTTTCTGAGATGTGACGATATTGACAGCCTTAATTCTAAGATGGGAGTGGGAAAAAATATTTTTATAGATATGTAAAAATCTCTATTCTGAGGCATTTTACTGATGGACATACATGCATTGTTTCTCTTATTACAGAGGTATATATTTTAGCCTGTAACTACTCCAAATCTAATGGCTATTTTGATAGCTGAGGAAGCATGAGTATGTTTCCACTATTTCTTTAACACTCCCATCCCCATGGGTGCTTTAGATATACAAATACACAAAAGCATACCAGGGTGGAGAAGGGCATATAAAGCCATTTAATCCCCCTCCTCTTTTAATAGTCAGTTCCTTTGCTTTCAAAGTATCTTTAAATTTGAGTTAATTGAGAACTAAATCAGAATGTCTGTTTAAGAATAGTGTTTTTTGCTTATTCAAATGATTCCTATTTCTAGATATTTCTTAACATCATATATGATTCCATGTGTTATACACATCTGTATAAGCACTTCAATAAAGGTACATGCGCTAAAAATATTAAAAGTGCTTCATGTTTAAGGCATTAGGGAGCATGTAAAAAAATCAATGAAGATGTTTGTCACATTTATCTATATAAATACTAAAAAAAAAAATTTCAATCTTCTAGGCCAGTCCCTTTAAAACAGGGGAAAGTTACAGTAAGGATTTTGCTGTCAGTTAATATTGCATGTGTATTCTTTCTAGATACAAAAGTCAATAAATTCTTATCAGTACTATGCCCTTTGTCTTATCCAATCAGCGTTTCGTTTGGTTTCTATTTCATTTCCTTTGGTTACCAGTACTAGCTAGCACAAATGAGTCTGTAGATAAGAAAATTCTGTTATGTATCTTAAAATACTAGGTGCAGGATAATTTGGGAACTGTTTTAAATGAGCATTTATATATAATGTGTTATTCATGTTGTGTTGCGTGTTTTAACCCAGCAAAGGCTTTTGCCTTAATAGTAATTTAAAGTAAATTAGAAACTAGTTTGTTTTCAAATATAATTAGGCAGTAGTAGATTATTAGTTTAGCCTAGTGGCTTATATGAGGTATTTGGAAATAATAAGATGAGAAGCCATGTCCTTCCTGCTTGACTTGCTGTTGACATAAATATATCAGTGACAATTACTTTTTTATTAAATTCCTTTTCTGGTGTGTGTTTTGTTTTGTGGGTTTTTTTGGGTTTTGGGGGGGGTGGGGAGGTGTTTTTGATTGTTTTTAAATGCATGAGAGAAATAGAAGGCTTTGGTATCTGAGAGTAGTAGCATCTTCTAGTATATAGTAGTTTTAGTACTCAGAGGTGTTTAAAAAAAAAAAACTGTTCACCATTTGTTTTCCCCTTAGCTGTCTGATGCTCTTTGTAAGAGGAAAATTGTTTACAGCACAGAAACAAGGAAGATATGACCAGTTACAGTTCTCTTGCAGTGAAAGTAAAAAGGAGTTAATCTTGTAACTGGTCAATATCATGTACTTTTGAGACTTTGTAGTATTTTAAATAGTGCAGGAAAATGTATCTCTATATTGGTATGTGTTTCCTTGCCAAGTTAGCTGTAAGCTTCGATGACATGGACTTAATTTAGATTTATTTCCTCTTTTCCTCCTATTACGTTGTGTCTGGAAGATGATGCAGTGTCATGTGGATGCCTGCGATGACATGCAGCCACCAGAGTTGGTGAGTGTGCTCATGCTTTTATTTGACTGGTTTAATAGTTGATTTTTGAGAAAAATCATTTTAATTGGTTAAGTGATAACTGGAATTTCTTGAGATTGAATGTAGTCAATGGCAGTTTGCATCTATTGAAAAATCCCTGAAGCTGGTCTCCTAACTCATGTTATTGGCAGTTTGTCCTGAACAATGAATCCTATGCAGGTAGCTAATGTTCCACAATGAAAGTATGCAGCAGCACAGCTAAGAGAAGTTTTTGTTGTATTGCCTCTTTTGTACCCTATTTTTAGCATTCTAAGTTGTAGTTCACTGTAACTCTTGCTTTTCAAAACTCTGTAGGTGCATCTATATACAAATGTTTTATGTTAACTTCATGTTATGTTTTCTCCTGTTTGAAATAAGGAATGTTGAAAATAATTCTTATAGTTGTAGATAAACTATTATGTGTTACTTATCCAAATATTTGAAAGTATTCCATTTGATTTGTGTTTATCAGGCTTCTTAGGGGGTTCAGGAAGGAAAGTTCAAAAGGTGTCAGCAACTGTTCATGCCATCTGGAAGATGGCAAAGTGCTGCCAAATACTAAATTTTAGTTCCTAGCTTACATGACCACTACAGTTTTAATTACTCATTTGCTGTCTTGTAGTCTGGGGAGGAGAATCAGCAGAAAGGGTCAAGAAAAGGATTGCTCACTGAAGCAAGTTAGCCTGAAAAAGGGTTTCCCTGTGCAAAATATCAGCAGAAATAGGCAGAAGAGTATGCGTGTGGAATAATGCAGATAGTTCTGATCTACCTCTGAATTAATATCTAAGCAGTGTCCTTTATTTTGTATTTTGCACTCCACTATGAGCTCTATTATGTTGTATTATGGTCCGTATTGCTAAGCAATATGATTACACAATACGGGTTGCTTGCAACTAGATGAACAATTTTTTTCTGAATAGCTACTGTTTTGATGCTGTTTCAAAAAGCTAGCAGGCAAATACTTTTTTGGACAAAGTTGTTGCATTGCAACATCTGCAAACAAGTAATTCACATAAATTCCTGTCTATCAGTGATAAAAATTGAATTCTAGAGAAATGTGCACATCTAGTCTCTGCTTCTACAGGAAGATATTAAAATGGGTGTTTGCGTATTTAGAGGTCATTGGATGAAATTAAGTACTTGATATCAAGTGCCAGTCTACAAATCTTGAACATAAAACACTCAGGGGTGCTGCACTGTAGTGATTTGAATTTGGTATGTGGTAGTTTTAGTAGAATAGATGTAATTAGTGTAATAGAATAGTATGGGTTGGAAGGGACTTTCAAATGTCATCTAGTCCAACCCCCCTGCAAAGAGCAGGGGCATCTTCAACTAGATCAGGTTGTCCAGAACCACATCCAGCCTGGCCTCGAATGTCTCCAGGAATGGCACATCTACTATACCTCTCTGGGCAACCTGTGCCAGTGTTTTACCACCTTCCTTATAAATTTCTTCCCTGCATCTAGCCTGAATCTCCCCTCTTTTAGCTTAAAACCATCACCCCGTGTCTTATCACAACAGGCCCTGCTAAAAAGTCTCACCCCATTTTTCTTACAGGCCCCTTTTAAGTACTAAAAGGTCACAATAAGGTCTCCCTGGAGTTTTCTTCAGGCTGAACAACCCCAACTCTCTCAGCCGCTCCTCATAGGAGAGGTGCTCCATCCCTCTGATTTTTGTGGCCCTCTGGACCTTCTCCAACATGTCCATATCTTTACTGTACTGAGGACTCCAGGGCTAGATGCAGTACTTCAGGTGGGGTCTCACCAGAGCAAAGTAGATGGGAAGAATCGCCTCCCTTGACCTGCTGACCACGCTTCTTTGGATGCAGCCCAAGATATGATTGGCCTTCTGGGCTGCAAGTGCAAATTGCCAGCTCATGTCCAGTCTTTCATCCATGAATACCCCTAAGTCAGGGGTACTGTCAATCCCTTCATCCCCCAGCCTGTATTTGATACTAGAGGTTGCCCCAACACAGGTGCAGGACCCTGCACTTGGCCTCTTTGAACCTCATAAGGTTTCCATGGACCCGCTTCTTGAGCTTGTCCAAGTCCCTCTAGATGGCATCCTGTCCCTTGGACATTTCAACTGCATCACTCAGCTTGGTGTCATCTGCAAATTTGCTGATGGTGTACTCAATCCCACTATGTTATTGAAGATTTTAAAGAGTACTGGTCCCAGTACAGACCCTTAAGGGCTGTCACTTGTCACTGGTGTCCATCCAGACATTGAGCTATTGACTGCTACCTTCTGGATGCAGTCATCCAGCCAGTTCCTCATCCACTGAACAGCCCACCCATCTGTCGTGGTTTAAACCCAGTCAGGCAACTTGTTCACTCACTCCCAGTGAGTGGTGCCGGGCTGGCAACAATCGAGGGCCCCCCCCCAGGGCTCTCCCCTTCCCTGCTCTCGAAGGAATGGGGAGGAGGATCGAAAAGGTGCAACTCCTACGGGTTGAGACAAGAACAGTCCAGCAACCAATGTACACCACAAATCACCACCGCTACTACCAACAACAACAATGATAAGAGAAAATAACAAGGGAAGAGAATACAGTACCACTGGCCAAGAAACGAGTCCCACCCGGAAGCCCGTGTGCTTCCCGGTAACTCCCAATTACCCCCCACCCCGGGCATGACATGCTGTGGTATGGAATACCTCCTTGGCTAGCCTGGGTCAGGCGCCCCGTCTCTGCTTCCTCCTGGCTTCCCCTCCTCCCTGGCAGAGCATGAGCCTCACAAAGTCCTTGGTCAGGGTAAACATCACTTAGCAACAACCAAAAACATCGGCTTCACCAACAGTGTTCCCAGGCTGGAAGTCAAAACACAGCACTGCACCAGCTACCACGAAGGAGAAACATGACTGCTACTGCTGAACCCAGGACACCATCAAATGCAAGTCTCTCCAGTTTAGAGAGAAGGATGTTGTAGGGGGACTGTGTCAAAGGCTTTTCAGAAGTCCAGATAGACAACATCCATAGCCCTTCCTTTGTCCACTGATGTAGTTACTCCATCATAGAAGGCCACTAGGTTGGTTAGGCAGGACTTGCCTTTGGTGAGGCTATGCTGGCTGTTTCAAATTTCCTCCCTGTCCTTCATGTGGCTTAGCATAGCTCCTAGGAGGATCGGTTCCATGATCTTCCCAGGCACAGAGGTGAGGCTGACAGGTCAGTAGTTCCTGGGGTCCTCCTTTCTAGCCTTTTTAAAAATGGGTGTGATGTTGCCCTTTTTCCAGTCACCAGGGACTTCACCTGACTGCCATGACTTCTCAAATATCATGGAGAGTGGCTTGGCAACTACATAAGCCAATTCCCTCAGCACTCTGGGATGGATCTCATCAGATCCCATAGATTTGTGTATGTTCAGGGTCCTCAAATGGTCACAGACCTGATCTTTACTTAGTGGGAGGGACTTTTCTCCCCCAGTTCCCACCCTGCAGTTCATCTGCTCAAGAGGTGTGGGGAGAGAGCCTGCCAGTGAAGATTGAGGCAGAAATGTTGAGTACCTCAGCCTTCTTGTCCACTGTTACCAGTTTACCAGTCTTGCTCATTGGGGGGCCGGGGGGAGGGGCACACTTTCTTTGACCTCCCTCTTCTGGTTGACATACCCGTAGAACCTTTTTGTTGTTCTTTGCATCCCTTGCCAAGTTCAGCTCCAGCTGTGCCTTGGCCTTCCTGACCCCATCTCTGCACAACTGGGCAGTGTTCCTATACTCTTCCCAGGATACCTGTCCCTGCTCCCACTGCTTGTGCATTTCCCACTGCCTTGCCCTTTTGTTTGATCAGCAGTTCTTGACTCAGCCATGCCAGCTTCTTGCCTTCTTTACTCAATTTCTTCCACTGTGGGATGGTGAGCTCTTGTGCTCTGTGGAAAGTGTCCTTGAAGATCTGCCATGTCTGTTCTGCTCCCTTCTTCCTGAGGGCTGTTTCTCAGGGGGTCCTATTGACTAACTTCTTGAAGAGCTGGAAGTTGTCTTTTCTGAAATTCAAGGTCCTGACTACTTTTTGCCTGTCTCGCCTCCCTTAGGACTGTGAACTCCACAAGTGCATGATTACTGCAGCCCAGGATGCTTCCTGTTTTGATGTCACTAATTAGTTCACTTGCATTGGTGACCATCAGGTGCATTATCTCATCCCCCCTGGTAGGGCTGTCTGTTACCTGGTTTAAGAAGGTATCCTCAGTGCACTCCAGGAGTCTCTTGGATTGACTACAGCTCGCTGTGCTACTTGTCCTGCTAGGGGACTTCAACCACCCTGACCCCTGCTGGAAAAGAGCCTGAGAGTGCGATACCTCTTATAGCTGGAGTAAGAAGGCTTCATCAGTAGTCTCCCTCTGATTGGGCAGCCTGTAATAGACACCAACCACAAGGTTCCCTTTGCCTTGATCTCTCATTTTTACCCATCAGCTCTCAACCTGGCTGTAGCTATTCTTCAGAGACAACTCTTAATGCTCTGCCCATCTCTTGATGTAGAGGGCAACCCCACCACCCTTCCTTCCTCGCCTATCCCTTCTAAATAGCTGTCGTGGTTTAAACCCAGTCAGGCAACTCGTTCACTCACTCCCCCCCTTCTTTCCCTCCCCCTACTCCCAGAGGGATGGAGAGGAGAATCGAAAAGAATGCAACTCCCACAGGTTGAGATAAGAACAGTTTAGTAACTAAGGTATAACACAAATCACTACTGCTACCACCAATAATAACAATGCTAAAGGAAATAACAAGGGAAGAGGATACAACATCTTGCCACCAGCCGACCGATAACTCGCCCCCCAGCCCGACCAAGCACTGACCGATACCTCCTCCAACCCTGCAGTCCTAGCCCTTCTGGGTAACTCCCCGTTACATCCTGGGCATGACATGCTGTGGTATATGATACCTCTTCGGTCAGTTTGGGTCAGGTGTCCTGTCTCTGCTTCCTCCTGGCTTCCCCTCCTCCCTGGCAGAGCATGGGGCTCACAAAGTCCTTGGCTAGACCAAAACATCAGGCCGAAAGTCAAAACACAGCACTGCACCGGCTACCAAGAAGGAGAAAAATGGCTGCTACTGCTGAACCCAGGACAATAGCCTGTAGCCATTGAAAGCCACACTCCAGTCATGGGATTTGTCTCACTAAGTTTCAGTAATGGCCAGCAGGTCGTTGCTTTCTAGCTTGATGGCGGCTTCCAACTCCCTGTTTGTTTCCCATGCTGCATGCATTGGTGTAGAAGCACTTCAGCTGGGCTGCTGGCCTTGTCTCCTTAGAGGAGCACCTCTTGATTCCTCTGAAGTGTTTCACTGGTGTTTCCCTGTTGGCTCCTATTTCCTCAGGTGCCCCTTCCTTATCTCTGTAAGATTTCAAGTGTGCTCCAGTGTTACCAACATGTCTTGGAGCCATTGGCCTGATGGTCCTCAGTAGCACCCTGCCCCTCTAACCTTGGTATCTCATCCCACGCCTTGTCATGGGTGAGCTTGATATTGCCCCCCTTCCTCCATCATGTCTAGTTTAAAGCTCTGTTAATGAGCCCCACTAGCTCATGAGCAAAGACCCTCTTCCTCCTTTGAAAAAGGTGAATCCTATCTGACATCAGCAATCCTGGTGCTGCATAGGCCATCCTATTATAAAAAAAAAAAAAAAAACAACAACAAAAAAAAAAAACCAAAACAAAATTGTGGCAGTGACACCACTGATGGAGCCATGTACTAATGGACTGGGTCTGTCTATTTCTTCTAATGTTGTGGTCCACAGCTGTAGAGGGGAGAAAATAACCTGTCATGATTGTCATTTCTAAGATACAAAACATTGTAGCATAGTCTGAATGAAGAGACCAATTATGAAGTTAGGGTTTACTCTGTTTTTCTTCAAGATAGAGTAGGAGGGCTGATGTTTACCAGGTAAACATCTTGTCTCAAACTAAGACTTTAATTTCTACTCAGCTGTATAGGTAGTAGTAATAAGGCTGAACTCTGATCTTTTGATTTGAATGTCAGTTTAGTCCAAGAGTCAGGACTTTCTGCATTAATAGCTGTTTACCAGCGGAATTGGTAAGGTTGCTTGGTAAGCTGGTATGTCTGGATCTTGATGACTTAGAGGTTTTAACAGAACAGGCTAAGAGGTTGTCATTGGAGATTCCTTACTTCCTTCCCCCTCCCCCCTTGTTCTTGATCTGCTTTATTCCACAGTTCACAGTTTGCCTTTAATAAGGTTCTGGGTTAGGATTTTTGCATAAAATAAGCTCAAAGTTAATAGTATGATACTTGAAATGAAAATATGTTAATGATCATGGCTATCTGCTATTTAAGGGTTTTCTTTCTCTTTTTCTTATAGTTTGAGGGTGGCTCTGGATATGGTAAGTTTTTATAGAGAATTTTGACATACGTTTCATTTAGCTAGTAAGAGGCTTGATGCATACGTTTAAATCAGACTATTCTTACACAGGGGGCCGTGGTTCATATGGAGATCTTGGTGGACCCATTATCACAACACAAGTAACGATTCCCAAAGATGTAAGTGCAGCTGACTTGCTTTCTACTTATGTATAAATAAATGTCACAGCCTTTTCTCAGGCTATGTAAGTAAATCAAAAGTATTTGGGATGCTTGACAGGTGCTTTTAATGTACAGCAAGTGTTTCTAAATCACCAAAAGATTATTCTTAAAGATGTTTTCTTCTTCACTTTAGAGATGTACTGAACTTGTTATTCAGTAATAGAGATGGTCTACATAACTTGTTTTTACAAATAAGCTTCTGGTTCTTCCAGCTCTATCCCCCCTGTGTTTATATAATAAACATTATAGAAGATGTTTTGAGGCTGTAAGAGGAAGCTTTCATTGTAACTGTTTAAATTGATGGAAGCTACTTGAACAGTACTGTGTTTCTGCAGAGAAAGTTCTATCAAGAAATTAATGCTTTATTTTTTCCCCTAGCTGGCAGGATCTATTATTGGAAAGGGAGGCCAGCGAATCAAACAAATACGTCATGAGTCAGGAGCTTCAATCAAAATTGATGAACCACTAGAAGGCTCAGAAGATCGAATAATAACAATTACAGGAACACAGGACCAGATACAAAATGCTCAGTATTTACTGCAGAACAGGCAAGTTGAAGCTTAACACTGTTCTTGCCGTCAATTTTAAACTGACTTTCCTACTACTACATTCTAAGGCTGTTCTCCTCTGCAATATAGTTTTCAGAAGGCAGGATTTAAGTAACTATTGAACCTAACTTCTTAGGGGTAGTATTGCCTTGAGTCTCCTCTTTTCTCTGTTATAAGTAAAATGAAGTTGCCCTCAAAACTAATCTTGATGGAAAACACTTTAACCAAGCTGTCCTGGTGAAAAATTCTTTTCACCAGAAGAAGAAAAAAAAAAAAGTAATAAATTACTTAGAACCTGTAGAAAATATAGAAGATTTCAATGGACATTGGTCTAGTTCTGTGTGGAAGACTAGTGATTTTGTTGTTTTTACATAACTTAACTGACAACAAATTACAGTCTGCCATATGGCACAGACCATGCCTCTACAGACCAAGTTGAAATCAGTTTGTGCTGTTATGCAGCTTTCATACCTTGCTGGCATTGCTTTCTCTTCTGGCAAATATTAACAATTTTGAACTTAGTTGGCTTAATTTTGCTTAAATAACATGTTGGCTATCATAGCATTTGTTAACGTTTAACTTGAATGCTTGGCTTTTGGTTACTAATATTTAAATATGCTTAAAATTATATGCCTGTAATTATTAGCTTTTTTTTTTTTACTTTTAAATATAGGAATTTGTAGTTTAAGAATACCGTTGTGAATACTGATGCAAGATGTATGGTCAATCATTCTAATACATGCTTTTTTTTTCTTTTTCTTTTATAGTGTGAAGCAATATGCAGATGTTGAAGGATTCTAATGCAAGATTATTTTTTCTTTTTTATAGTGTGAAGCAGTATTCTGGAAAGTTTTTCTAAGACTAGTGAAGATCTGAAGGAGTCCTGCACTTTTTTTTTTTCCCCTAAAAAAAAATTATTTTTTTTTTCCTCTCAAATACCTTCTTCTGTTTAAAAAGCCAACATTCCTCTGCTTCATATGTGTTCTGCATTTGAGATGTAGTGGAATCTGCTGTTTACCAGATGTAATATTTTAACTCATTACAAATATTTGAGGGAGGGAGGGAGGTCACAAAAGACTAGCACTGAGATTTTTTTGAAACAGCAGCAGAGTGGATTTTATTTTTGTTTGGTGGTGGTGGTAAATTATAACGCTTTTTCTGTAACTATTGTGAAGGCCCTGCTTTATGTACATTGGGTTGAGTTGTTGTTTGTTTGGGTTTTTTTTGTTTGTTTTGGGTTTTTTTTTTTCCTTGTTGCGGGGTGGTGTGGGGATGTGGTGTTGGTTATTTGTGCATGGGTGTTTTCTTTTGGGAGGGGGGTTGGTTTGTGGATGGTTGTTTTCTATTTTGTTCTTTGGTTTTGTTTTTTTTTTTTTAAGAGGGGAGATGACTGGCTGTCCACATGTCCCTGGCATTCTTCTAGAGCAGTGTGAAGAATGTAATGCTCTTTTTTAAGATATATTTTATGGTTTTTAAATAAATTTAGTGAACCTGTTACTGGTGGTCTCTTTTTTTAATATACATAAGGTAATATCTAAAATGGATGCACACACACACAAACAACACCCCCCCCAAGACAATGTGTAAATGAAGATTTTGTTAAGCTTGCTTCTTTGATGTAGATGGAGTTATATGGGGTTTGGCAAATAAAAGAAACAGTGTAAAAACAATAGCTCAGCTTTGTTATTCGGGAAAAGGTACAAAAATACCAATGCGAACATGGTATGAATTTTGACAAGTTTTTGCAAGTTTTTTGGTCCTCTTTGAACTGTGTATATACATATTGGTGACTATATAAATAAAAAGTTTGTGATGCCACTGAGTAAACAGCTGTTTAGAACCAGGGGTATTTAACCCACTGTTAACTTGGTGGCATCACATTACTTTCGCCTTGGCCATATGGAGTTCTTAAAGGATGTGTGTTCTGCTGATCACTCCTTGGCTCTCCAGTCAGTGGATCAGCTTATGGACAGGAATCAGGGAGTCTCGGTTGGTGCTATCTTGCCATCGGTGCACTGTTGTGATCCTTTCCAACCGTAACGATTCTATGATTCTATGACTGGCACTTCTTGTTCTTCGACCTTCAGCAATCCCACAACAGAAGGATCCTCTGAGAGACCAGGCAAGGCAGACAGCTGCTTAATTTCCTTTGTCTCCAAAGCAGCAATACCAAAAGCCCACTGGTACCCTTTTGGGTCTTAGAGGTACCCTCTCCTGAGGTAGTCTACGCCAAGGATGCATGGAGCCTCTGAACCAGTCACAGGCTGGTGCTTTTGCCATTTCCTTCTAGTCAGGCTGACTTCAACCTCCATTACAGTCAACTCTTGGGATCCTTCTGTCACTCCAGAAATATAGATGGGTTCCACCCCTTGACAGCTTGATGGCATGAGGGTACACTGTGCAACAGTATCTACTAGAGCCTTATACTGGTGTAGGGCTGATGTGGCAGGCCATCTGATCCACACAATCCAGTAAATCTGATTATCCCTACCTCCATCTGGCTGGAGACAGGGCCCCTCTCATAGTCATAACAATATTGGTCACTTATATAGACAAGGATTATTCTTTGTTATCACAGGAGCTGGAGTAAAATCAGCTCTTCCACTCGATGTGGGAGCCTGCTCACCAGAGACTGAAGCTGCAGCTTTCATGGGATGATCATCCTTGACTCTTTGTCGTGGTTTAAACCCAGTCAGGCAACTTGTTCACTCACTCCCAGTGAGTGGTGCTGAGCTGACAACAATTGAGGCGCCCCCCCCCCCCCCTCCCCCACAGGGGCTCTCCCCTTCCCCACTCCCAGAGGAACGGAGAGGAGGATCGAAAGAGTGCAACTCCTATGGGTTGAGACAAGAACAGTCCAGCAACCAATGTACAACACAAATCACCACCGCTACTACCAACTACAACAATGATAAGGGAAAATAACAAGGGAAGAGAATACGATACCACCGGCCAAGAAACGAGTCCCACCTGGAAGCCTGTGTCCTTCTGGGTAACTCCCAGTTACCCCCCACCCCGGGCATGACGTGCTGTGGTATGGAATACCTCCCTGGCTAGTCTGGGTCAGGCGCCCCATCTCTGCTTCCTCCTGGCTTCCCCTCCTCCCTGGCAGAGCATGAGCCTCACAAAGTCCTTGGTCAGGGTAAACATCACTTAGCAACAACCGAAAACATCGGCTTCACCAACACTGTTCCCAGGCTGGAAGTCAAAACACAGCACTGCACCACCTCCCACAAAGGAAAAACACGACTGCTACTGCTGAACCCAGGACACCCTTTTTCCCCTCTTTAATTCATGCACCTGTTCCTCCAGAGCTGAGGAAGGTTTTTCCGTCCCAATTTGTCATGTCTTCTCTCTGATACCGCAGGTTAAACCATAATTTGTGGTAGAGGGGGACTGCATTTGCGCTCTCCCCTAACTAGGGGTGGTGTAGCTGCTGTGCTTGGAGCTGGGGTAGCCGTGCTGTCTGTTGCGGTCAAAGTTTGAGTAGCTGCTGTACTTGTCAGTGGGGTAGTTGTGCTATCTGCTGCAGCCAAAGATTGGATAGTGACTACTTTTTGCTGGGGTTAGTGTAGCTGATGTGCTTGGAGCTGGAGTAGCTGTGCTGACTGTTGCTTTGTCCTCAGATCCACTGACATTCTTTTCCTTTTGAAGGTGCTGGAGAATGTTGAACAAGGCCCTGTAAGCATAGGTCAAGCCCCAGAATGTTGCCATGATTTGTCCGTCTGGTATGGCAAGAATGACCACACACCTCATTTAAGTGTTTTACTAATTTTTCCGGATTTTGTATTTGTTCGGAGGTGAAGTTCCAAAGCACTGGAGGGGCCCACTGACCTAGATACTTGCCCATACTATCCCACACACCCTGCACTTATGGCTGTCCAGCCTCGGGGAAAATCTCTTGGTCCTCCTATATCTTTGTTTAACCCCAGACAAGACCCAAACTTGACTCTGCTTAACTCTTGAAAACAGGCGAAATGGTCGTGGGCAAAACACAGTCTGTATGCGTGCCAACATGGTGATCCCCATCACAATCAGCAAACAACTCTCAACAGTATTAAAAGGCCATTCAAAAACTTCAAAACTCTCAAATGATGGTGTAAACGGTCGGGGGGGGGAGGGGGGGTGGTACACCTGGAGGGTAAGAGAATGTCTCCTTCACAGATTGACCACCCAAGAAGGAGACAAAAGGATGTGTAATTGCTAAGCACTTCTGTTGTATACCTCCCAAAGTATAAAGGCAGTGACCACACTGGGAATATAAGCCATATCAGTTTCATGATCAATGATTCTATTGTATTACAAGTCATTACCATAAAGTACAATGAGACAAAAACCTTAGCCCAAGCCCCACACTTGAAAAACACTAACACAGCAAATACAGGCTCTAAGTAAGGTGCAATATACTGATTCTGTGAGATCAAGAGAAACAACTTTGAGAGCCAATAAATCAGCATTGTGATGAGTGACTATTAATCTAAAACAATGACTGCTTATCACAAATACGATTAGACGCATTCTGATCAGATCTGTCGTTATCTCAAACCCTTCGTGCCCCCACGTTGGGCGCCAAATGAACTGTCATGGTTTAAACCCAGCCACACAGTTTCTATTCCCACCCTCCCCTCTTTCTTTCCTTCCCCCTCCCCACTCCCGGAGGGATGGGGAGGAGAATTGAAAGAATGCAACTCCCACAGGTTGAGATAAGAACAGTCCAGTAACTGAGGTATAACACAAGTCACTACTGCTGCCACCAATAATAATGATGGTAAAGGAAATAACAAGGGAAGAGAATACGATGCCACCTGCCGAAACGAGCCCAACCGAGAAGAGAGCGTGCCATTCCGGGTAACTCCCAGTTACATCCCCGCTCATGACGTGCTGTGGTATGGAATACCCCTTTGGCTAGTTTGGGTCAGGTGTCCTGTCTCTGCTTCCTCCGGGCCTCCCCTCTTCCCTGGCAGAGCATGAGCCTCACAAAGTCCTTGATCAGACTAAACATCAGTGTTATCAGCTCTGTTCCCAGGCCAAAAATCAAAAACACAGCGCTGCCCCAGCTACTAAGAAGGAGAAAAATTGACTGCTACTGCTAAACCCAGGACAGTGGCCTGTGGCCTGTATCTCCTATATCTCCTCTCTCAAGCAGTGGAGCACATTTTGTTAACAACTGAGACATGTTGGTACACGTGGGGAGCTGGATAGATTGTTGGCATCGTTTAAGGCAAGCCAGCAACCCAGAACCATGCAGCCACTTGCTCCTTCCCCCCCATTCCTCCCCACACTCCCGGAGGGATGGGGAGGAGAATCGAAAGAATGTAACTCCCACGGGTTGAGATAAGAGCAGTCCGGTAACTAAGGTACCATACAAAACTACTACGGCTACCACCACTAATAATACTAAGGAAAATAGCAAGGGAAGAGAATACAACTGCTCACGACCCTCTGACCGACACACAGCCCGACCCCAGCAGTGATCTAGCCCTTCCGGGTAACTGCCCCCAGTTTATATACTGGGTATGATGTGCTGTGGTATGGAATACCTCTTTGGTTAGTTTGGGTCAGGTGTCCTGTCTCTGCTTCCTCCAGACCTCCCCTCCTCCCTGGCAGAGCATGAGACTCAGAAAATCCTTGGTCAGAGTAAACAGCTACAGGTTGGGCAAAGTAGAGATTCAGAGCAGCCCTGTGCAGAAGGACTTGGGGTTGCTGGTCGATGAGAAAATGAACTTGAGCCAGCAGTGTGCGCTTGCAGCACAGAAAGCCAACTGTATCCTGGGCTGCATCAAGAGAAGCATGACCAGCAGTTTGAAGGAGGCGATCTTTGATCTTGTGAGATCTCACTTGGAGTATTGTGTGCAGTTCTGGTATCCTCAACATAAAAAGGACATGGAACTGTTGGAGCAAGTCCAGAGAAGGGCCACGAGGATGAT